ACACACATACACACACACAGAGAATGAGAAAGAGAGAGAGAGACACACACAGAGAGAGAGAGAGAGAGAGAGAGAGAGAGAGAAAGAGAGAGAGGGAGAGGGAGAGCGGCAGACAGAGACTGAGGCAGACAGAGAGAAAGAGAGAGGGTGCAGTTTCTTCTGTTGCTACCGTTTTTATCGTTATTCCGGAAGAGTAGGTTTGCCTCTCTCATGACGCCCCCTCACGGGGTCCCGGATCATGGCCTTCATAAGTCTCTAACCGTGCTGAGACTGATGCCTTGTCATTGGTCAGCCGGTTAGGGCGGTAACTTATAAACACATTAGCACACACAGACAAACGGACAGAGAGAAGGAATCACGCAGGGGGGTCGTGGGGAACGACTTATTGGACCGGGTGAGGCGTGAAACAGCAGTGTTTGGCCGTAGGTCCGCACAAGCGTGCTGGCAAGGACAGGCCAACTATAGAAAACAAAGGTAGGCAGCGATAGCGGTGGCGCTGCGCGTGCCCCTGGTTCTTGTGTTGAACAGAGCTGCGACGTGATTAGCACGCCGCTGATCTGAACTTCAATTCCCACGTGGCGAGCAAAAGGGGATGGCCTTATTTTTTTTCTCGACGACATTCGTCAGGCAGAAACACACAACCGCTGTACAGTATGCGGACGCGCGTGGGGGACACGCCTTGAAACGAAGCACTAATACTTTGATATGCATTTCCACAGGCTGTGCTTCTTTTTACGTTCTCTTTCTGCCGGAGCCTGCGTCCGCGTCAAGCACCCGAGTACCTCAACGTTGCGCTCCCTTTTTTTTTTTTTTTCCCAGCACACAACCCTGCGCTCTCCCTCGTGACCGTCAGTGCAACGCCATATAACCTCGCACCCCCGTCCCCCGCCGAACCCCCCCCCCCCCCACCTCCAGGGCCAGGTGACAGCGTCCCATAGGGGCGGAGGCGCGTCCCGCGCGGCCGTTACCGCCGTCTGCTGCCTCACCCCGGACGTCGTCCTCGTCGGCACGGACTCGGGCCAGCTCGCCACCTACTCCCTCAACCTCCCCGTGGTGAAGAACTTCAGGTCATCCAAGAGCGCCGACCAGAAGCGGGCCTGGTCTCTCGCCGCGTCCACGGTCTGGAACAAGGCCTCTGGCGGCGCCGCCTCCGGCGCCGTCTCCGGCGGCGCGAACTTGTACGTCCAGTTCCTGCGGCTAAGCCCGGAGCACGGGGCCGGCGTCGTCATGTGCGGGCTCCGCAGCGGCCGGGTGGTGGTCTTCGACACCGGGGCCGGTCGCGCGCTAGGGGTCACGGAGCCCCACCGGGGGGCGAGCATCGGCTACTGCCCCGCCCCTGCCGCGGCCCCCGTCCCCGCCTCCGCTCCCGCCCCCGAGGGCGGTGGAGCGGAACCGATTGAAGGCGTCGCTCCGCTGGCGGAAGGGGAAGGGGCGTCGGACCCGTACGGCGGGGGGCACTGGGGGCCCGTAGTGCTGGCCTGCTGCAAGGAGGGGGATGGGGGGGGGGAGGAGCTGGTCGTGCTCTCGACGTCGGCGAGAGCGGCGCTCGACTCTGGGCAGCAGCGTGGCGACCGCGGCGGGGGGGGGGGGGACAGGGGTACGAAGAGGCCCAGGAGGAAGTCCGGGCTTAGGCCCGGTCGCGGGTGGGAGATCGGGGCCGCCGGGGGCGGCGGCTTCCTGCTGGAGGAGTCCGAGGGCTACGACCTGTGTCTTCCCGTGGGGGTCGTGGAGGCAAACCCGGGGCGTCGCAGGGTGAGGCTCTCGGCGGACGTGCGGGGCTACCTGTGCCCCCGCGACGAGGGGCGGCTGCTGAGGAGCGGCCTGGTGACCTCGTCGATCAAGATCGGGGCGGAGAGGCACTCGGTGGAGGCGATCACCGGCGACGGCACGGTGCTGGTTCTGGACCGGAAGTACCGGGGGCCGGCCGTGGCCGCCGGACCGGGGCCCGAGGACGCGGCGCGGATTGGCAGCGGCTTCGGGGTCTTTGCCGCGGCAAGATGGTGGTGCTGCTGCTGCTGCTTCTTCTGCCACGTCGTCACCGGACGGTGGTGGACAGGGGACGGTCGAAGACCACCGCGGCTCGGATGAACGCGAAACCTGCGGTGATGCCGGTCGCGGAACGGAACGGACCACCGCGCACTCCGGGGGTGACGCGCTAGATGAAACCGCCACCGCCACCGCCACCGCCGCCGCCGCCGCCGCCGCCGCCGCCGCGGCCGTTCCCGCCGAAGGCATGGCCGCTGCCGCCGCCGCGAGCTCGGAACAGCCACAGCCAAAAGAAGAACGGCGGGAGCCGCGGTGGGATCGCGCGTGGCGGCCGAACGGGGTTCGAGTGTTCGCCAAGCTCCGGGCGGTGTTCGGAGACAAGCGGCACGAGTCGGAGGCGGCGGCGCAGCCGCCGCCCCCGTTCGCGCTGTACCAGGTCGTGGCGAGGGCAAAGCTCGACATGCCGGTGACCGCGATAACGTCACACCCGCGCATGAATTTTGTGCTGGTGGGGCTGTCGGACGGTACGGTAGCCGCGGTGTTGCCTCGAGGATAAGGGCTTTTACTTTTGGCGCTGTGAGGCTTATGTTCCAGTCGATTTGTCTCGTTTTTATCAAGGACGTTTGCCCGCTGAGGGGGGGTTGCGCGACTGCGTAGGTGAAGGTGTGGTAGGCCGGCGAAAAGTGAATGCTTTCGTTCGTGTGTATCCTCCTTGCTTTCATCGACCGTTCTAAACCGGGAGGCACATGTAAATAGAGGAGAAAGCACCACAATGCACGCAGGCGCCTCGTTTCCCATCGTTTTCGGTCTCGGTCTTGTCGCTCTGCTTTCCGTAGGGAAAGGCGCGGGAAGGTGAGACCCCGGTGCAATTCGTCCTTACAAGGATCTAAACCAGCACCACATGATTTTGCTCCCATCACTTGGGAAACGGTTCTTGCTTATCCCGGGTGGCGAGTTTGAAAATTTCATGTTGCTTTCGGACTTCCTCAACTAGTCGTTCGAGAAGCAAGCCTTGTAGCCGCAGCACCCATACGTTTCCCGCCCGAACGTTCGTCGTACATTCCACAATCTGTATAACGTGGAGCACGGGTGTGGATGCCATTTCAAGAGGAAGTACTCAGTCTCTCTTGCTTGTGGTGTAAGAGTTCCGCGTACGGCGACGCGCTGTATCTGCCCAAAGCCCACAGCAGCACTGCCCACGGCAGGGAAACGAAATTCGGTATGTGCAAGCCAAGGGCAACAGAGCTCCGTGGATCAAAAGACGCAAGCCTGTTCCCCTCTTCCTTATTCTCCCCTACACACCCGGCAAGCAAGGCCAGATTCATTCACCGCTTGTCCGCAACACTTTGCCAAACGATTGAGAAAGAGGGCTGGTAAGCACATAGGCTCCAGCGTACGGCGTCGTGTGTGTTGTGTTGATGACGCAAATAATCTGTCTGGCGCTCATTCGCCGAAGCAGCCTCGCCAAACATTTGAAACGGGCCAGGTGTAGCACATGATCTCGACCTTAATTTACCAAACGAGCATGTGCTGTGGCACCAAGAATCTACTACCCGCCGCTCATTCGCCGCTTGCTGAAAGCCACACCCGCCAAAAATCGAAAAAGAGGGCAGGTGTAAGCCGTAGTTGAGTGGGGACACGGAGAAACGTATTGTAGTTGATGGCGCCAAGAGTCTTACGCCTCCTTCCCCGGCCCTTCAGCCGAGGACGTTTTTGCTGTACAGAATTTTGTCTGGGGTGCTTTGCTGAACACCGCGTTCAGAGCACACACCGAGAACTCCAGGAAAGGACGTTTACGCTGCACGGAATGTAACCTAAATTGCTGCTGCCTTCAGTGCACACACCGATCATAACCAAAACACCCGCAGCAGCCATCCGTACGTACCCGTCAATTCTCCTCTGAAGCGCCCCCGCTACACTGGAGCAACAAAGATCGTTGCATACGATGAACGAGACGCGAGACTACCATATGACAACGAACACATCGACGCAGACAGCACGACCGGGGGAAAGGGTACATTTACGACCTAGAGGCCTCTCTCTTGCGCGTCCCGCCCATCACTTTCGCCAGCAGCAACAACATCCACTCATTCCTCGTCTGCCAATCCATACTTGACGACGAAATCGTTCACGAAGTTGAGCGTGGCCAGATCCTGCTCTGGCACCTTGTCGAGGGGGTCCGCGTTGTCGCCGTCTCCTCCCCCCCCACCCCCCCCCCCTTTCAACAACCGGGCCAACCCCCAGCTCTTTAATAAACCCCCTGGCTCC